GGGAGCCCGATGCGGGACTCGATCCCAGGACCCTGGGATCATGACCTGAGCCGAAGGCAGACGCTTAACCATCTGAGCCACCCAGGCGCCCGACATGGTTGGTGTTTTTACCGAAAATTTAATAAAAGAAGGAAGTTTGGCCGTAAAAAAAAAAAAAAAGCATTATTCTATGTGAAAGAAGTCTGATGCAAAAGGCTATATAATTCAGTTTGTAGAACATTCTAGAAGAAACAAAACTACACACAGAATATGGATGGGTGTTTGCCTGGAGCTGAGGGGGAGGGGATCAACCACAACAGGGTAGAGAGGGAACTTTTGGGGGCAACAGAATGGTAATTGTGGTGATGGTTACATGATTGCATGCAGCCATCAAAAAATAAACTTCACACTTAAAAGGGGTGAATTTTACTTTATGTAAATTATACCTCAATAAACGTACATTTTAAAAAAAAAAGGGCAATCAATGAGTCCATAAATACTCTGTGTCTTCTACAATAAAAAGAGTATTTTAACCCTCAAAAAGCAAAGCAATGTAATTTCTGAATAAAGAGCCATCCTTTATATTGACTAAGCTGACTTCAGGCACATTTAGGGAATGTTTTTTTCATTTCACTTCAAGACTGGGGAAAACCTCCTCGGGTACTGACTGAGACAGGTCTGGGTTTCAGAACTGCTGGACGGGTCCTCCGTGAAGCCCTCTGCAGGCTCAATGAATATGCTTATCCTGCAGTTCTCACTAAGGGGAGTTAGAATGATAGCACCATCCCATCTGCCTCATACTTGCTCCAGGGAACACTTGATTTTAAATAAAAAGTTTTCAAAAAGACAAACTTCCAAGCAATCACAGAGAGAATATTCTCTAGAATCTACAGGAGAGGGATCTGACCTGCTGAGCGTGAAGGAGAAGAACAGAGTAAAGAGAAGGCTCCACATATATTCTTAATAGCCATGATGCAAAGTAAATAGCCACCCTACAGTTAACTGGACATTGGGATCAGAGTCATGTTAAGCCCAACTTCATTTTCACTACTAGCTTTTGCCTAAGCGGCCTTGGACTTCATAACGCCTCTGCTGAGCAACGGGGTCTGTTCACAATGTAAAAATCATTATTCCCTAGGGGATCACAGTAGCTACGCTATAAATGAGGGATGGTCAGCAATTCCACTTGCAGTCTCAAATAGGAAATCCTACAGGCCCTGCCACCTAAATTATTATTTATTTGGGTTCTGCATTAACAAGTTAATCTGTATTCTCAAAACTACCCAGAGAACACATCAGTAAATCAAACTCTCCTTCAGAGAATCTTTAAATTCTCTTCCTATTTCTTACTACCATGAAGAGGTCCTTACCTTTCCCAGTCTCCAGTGATTCATTAAAACATCAGTGCACTTCAAGTTGGTTTCCTGACCTCAATTCTTACATCCAAAATAAATTCCAGATGAACCAATGATTGAAACACAATAATTAAACTATAAATTCACTGGAGGAAAACACTGGAAATCTCATTATTTTAGAACAAAGAAGCCTTTGTTAAGCATGATGTAATACCAAAAGCCAAAAATGAAAATATTCATAAATTTGACAGCAAAAATTAAATATCCTACATAGCAAAAAATGTACCCCAAGTCAAAATACAGGTGACCTACCAGGAGAAAACATCTATAATACAAATAACAGGCAAAGGACAAATATGCTCAATTCACATATAGCTAAGTGCAAATCAAGGAGAAAAAAAGAACTCAATATAAAAAGGATAAAAGGATGAAGGATAAAAATTGGCAGATCACATCAAAGAAATACATGTGACGATCAACATTTGAAAACATACTCAACCCCTGTCATGACTTTAGAAGTGAAAATGAAAATCACGGGGGATTAATTTTTTATCCACGAGACTATCAAAAGCTAAACATTAGAAGAGCCACAGTTAGAGGGGGAAATGCATCTTTACACACAAAATTGGTAGCAGAACAAATTAGGAGGATTTTTTTTAGAAGACAATTTAGCAATGTCTAGGAAAATACAGCAGACACAGAGTCTGTGACCTACAAGTCCAGTGATATAACTTTCTATGTACACCTAGAGGCACAAAAAGATATATATACAAAGATGTACACTATAGCATTATGTCTAACAACCTAAATGTCTGTCAGTAGAGGACTTAAATAAAGCAGACATCCATTATTAGATCCCATATATCTAATAAGACTTCCAAAGTACCTTTTAAAAAGGGGGAGGGGGGGGAGGGACTGTATGCATGAAAAGATCCCATCCGTGTAAAAAACACAAACACACATATACATACATCCTAACACATGCCTAAATCTACTTGAATGATGTACAAGAACTGTCAAGTGCAATTATCTCTAATGAGCATACATTACCATGTTGGGAGATCTGTCCTTTTTATTTTAGGCCCTTCTGTTTTATAAAAAAGTAAAAAGATACATATAAAAAGAAAAATTTTAACTGCCCTGCCTAGGAGTTTATAAAATACTGATGAAATGTCCAGGACTCCTACCATAATTCCTAGAAAACAAAGCAAGGCAAAGAGAAAAAAGCTTTAGAAGTAGGGCCCTACCTATGGTAAACCCAGATTCTGCGTGGGGAAGTCAAAAGGGGTGAGAGCAAAACAGTAGTAAGCAAGTCAAGGAAAAGAGGTCTCATAAAAGAAAAAAAAAATTAACAGTGAACAAGATCATTATGAAGAAATCAGTTCAGATCGTACTTGGAGGCAGAACAGGGAGGTATACCTAAGCAAGGCATTTCCCATGGCCTTGAGCAAGACAGCTGACTGACTATAGGATTAAAATCATCAGAAGTTTCTTTTTTTTCTTTCTTTCTTTTTCTTTTTTAAAGATTTTATTTATTTATTTGACAGACAGACAGAGAGAGAGCACAAGTAGATAGAGTAGCAGGCAGAGGGAGACGGAGAAGCAGACTCCCCACTGAGCAGGGAGCCCAATGTGGCCTTGATCCCAGGACCCCGGGATCATGACCTGAACCGAAGGCAGACACTTAACTGACTGAGCCACCCAGGCGCCCCCAGAAGTTTCATATGTGGGTCTTTCTACTGGATGCATAGAATGTGGAAAAACACTCCAATCAGGTACCGTACTTAAATTAGAATTAATGATATAAAAGGGGTAGTCCTTTGAGCATTGATTTCAACAAATATTTATTGCCATGAATAAATTTACTTTGCAATTATTTCCTGTATTCTAATGCTAGGAAATCCTCCGAATAATCCATGAAAATGCCTACCTCCTATCTCTCACGTATCTGATCTAAGACCTCCTACCGAATCCTGAGGAAAAAAGAATTCATAACTTAGATGCCAAATTACCTGAGAACATTTCTATACTTGGAATGCTGAAGTTCCCTGCAGGATATTTCATCAATTTGGGGTCTATGTTTTATTTAAGGACCACTGACGACAACTAGTCTCCCATGAACAGTAAATCGAATTCCCTCTGCCTCCACAGTGAAATCATCCACTCAAGTTTCTCAACAGACATTAACAGCAGCCTAAATTGACAACATGTGAAGCCACAGAAGGGTCTTCCCAGAATCAGTTCCAATGAGGTGTCTGCAGGCCTCTTCATTCTACCTACAAGCTAATCCTCCTACTTTCCTCTTGGTTTTAGATTTCAATGCAGCAGGGCAATATGAATTCCAATACAGTGGGTAACTTCAAAAATGACAGGAGAAACAGCCTCCCCAAAGAAACAGATAATTGGGCTGAAGGGTAGCTCTCCAAATTACTCCAGTGTCTCCTTGCTTCCCCATGGTTACTTACCTTAGAACTCGTTTCCATGTGGTATTTGGCACAAGCTCGAAGCTGAGTCACCCAAAACTGTTTCTCCTTTGCATCGGCAGCTAAAATAGAGAAAGAAACGCTTGCAGAGATGGTTCCAAAACATATCTAACCTATTTCTACACCCACCTATGGGGGTGGGGGGCCCAGGGAGTGAGGTAGAGAGAGAACAAAGGGGAAAACAAAGGCAGATCGCAATATTCTCAGGCAGCCTCTGTTCACACACACACACACACACACACAAATTACACTAAATCTCAACAGAAAATTCCCTCTTAAACCACATTAAAAACATACTCTGAAATGTCTGTTATAAGAACAATTTTTGCCCTTTTTTTTAACCTCCTCTGAAAAAAGTCATTTCTACTTTTTTTTTTTTTAATGATTTTATTTATTTATTGGACAGAGAAAGAGTGAGAACACAAGCCAGGAAACAGAGGGAGAGGGAGAAGCAGGCTTCCCGCTGAGCAGGACCCAGGACCCGGAGACCATGACCTGAGCCAAAGGCAGCTGCTTAACCTACTGAGCCACTCAGGAGCCCCATCATTTCTACTTCTTTAAAAAGCCAGCGGGGGGGGGG